CCGCGTGGGCGCGGGCGGGGCCGGGGGCGGAGGGGGCGGTGGGTTTTTTCTGCAAACTGGAAATTCCCAGGCCCCAAGGCACCGGCTCGCCTCCGGTCCCGGACATCCCCCTCGAGGGCGGGCTCCAAGACCTGGCCCGGATCCATGCAGAGGAATCAGAAACAAATCTGTCAGAACATTTCCCTTAGGGACGCCTTCTTTAAAAAAAAACAAAAAAAAAAAAACATCTCAATGAATTCACTGTCAGGCATCAGCGTTGCCTCCTTATATTCACCTCCTTAGATACTCCTTATTCTCTTATTCCAATTTTTCTGTGTGTGTATGTGTGTGTGTGGGGGGGGGGGGGGGGGATGTTGGGGGGAGGCGGTAACTTTCTACAACACAGCTTTTTAAACGTGGCAATCAGAAAGGATGGCTATGGGGTGCCTTCACTGACAAATTAAAGGACAAGGAATCTGCCACAAGTAAAGCGGTGGTCCTGTAACATGAAAATCACGTTGTTTTGGGGGCAGGGGAACAGCAGAGGGGGTGAATTTAAAGAGAATGAACCGCTGCACAATACTGAAAGGGTTTCTTCTATGACATTTGGTTTCACGGTGGCTTCTTTTCCTCCTGGGACACTTCCTACTGTAATCTCTGTGCAGCTTTCTCCCCAGCTCCTGTCCCCCACCCCACCCCCAAGTAGCACAATCCAGCTATATAATTAGACAGGGAATACCTGGTCCTTCTTAAAAGAAGCCTAACTTTCTCTCATTTAAGGCAGCACTCCTAAAAGCAAAATAGAATACACGTAAGCTCACACTTTTTTAAAGTGGACTTTGTAAGTGGACTTTGAAGAAAAGGTGAGACGGAAGTGAGTGAGGAGCATCTTGTGCTTCTACCTTCTGTATCCTATAAAGCTCTGTCCTCAAAACCATCTTTTCTTCCACCTGCTGCCCCACTGCCCCAGAATTCCTAGGTGCCCCTGGCACGCGGGGACTGCGGTCTCATTTCCAAAGAGATAAGGGCACCTTGGAGGTCTTATGTATTGCACATTGAGGGTCAGGCATTCTAAGAGCACTGAGAGGGTACTGAGAAGGTACTGCCGTCATAAACACTTGGAGAATAATGCTCACGAGAATAAATGTAGTTAAAGTGGCATAAGTGACTAAGGTTAAAAAGCTGAATCTATTAAGACCCACAAAGATAATGCTGAGCACCTGTGTTTTGTGTTAAGGGAAGGAAGGAGCTTGTTTTTGTTGTTTGCTTTGGATGTTTATTTCCCTGTACCTCTCTCAGTAATAGCTATGTCCTTCAATAGGGCCCAGAAACAGACTAATCTCAGGCATATGACATATGAATACGTAAAGGCTCACTGTAGGTACTCTTGTCAAGAACCCAAATGTATCAATCTGAATTTTAATACAGTACCTGAAGCCAGGAACTGTCAGTCAATGGGTTTTTAATAAGATGATGGTTGTTTAGAATAGTAAAATGGATCATATTGGAACACCAAAGGTCTTTTTTTATATTTTCTAAATAAAGGTTACTCTTAAAAGGATGACATCTCTAAAATATAATTTGCATAGAAGGGTCTTATGGATTTTCCCTTTCACAAGCAGCACCAAGTCAATCAATTGAATTCTAGAATATAAGGAGATCCACTAAATGATAGTCATGCTGTCTAGTTCCAAAATAAAAATCCATATTTTAACTTAAATTGTAATAAACCAGTGTTTTAATATTTTATTAGAAGCCTCAATGTCCAATCATAATGGCCAACTTGTATAAATAATAACATCATTAGGTGAACTTTTGTTAAGACTTTTATAATTAAGTTATTTAGATTTAACATAGAAAAATAATTGTATGTTAAAAATAAAACAAAAATTACATATTCTATGATTACTGCTATGTGGTTAAAAAAAAACAAGAAAATATACCTGAGTGTGGGAGAGGGGGGGGCATGCAATGGAGGGATAGGGACACATATTTAATACCTTCATCAATAAAGAAAAAAATTTCACCTTCCCAAAAAAAGAAAGTATACCAAAATGGTAATGGTCCTTGCATTCAGATCATAGAATTATGGGTTCTAGTTGTAGATTTTCTTCTAGATTTTAAAAATTATGATGAAAACAGTCATGGGATGTAAAGTACAACATAGGGAATATAGCCAGGAATAGTGTAACAACTATATGTGGTGTCAGATGGGTACTAGTCTTATTGAAATGATCACTTTGTGAATTATATAAATGTCTAAACACTGTGTTGTATACCTGAAATTAACATATTGTAGGTCAACATTTTACAAAAAAATATTTTTAAAAAAGATGTTTCCCTTTATAATGGAAAATATGTATTTAAAACCAACTATATTATTTGGCTGGCATGTTAATATTCACAACTATGTGATTCTGGCCTAAAAAGAGCTTTTCAGAAGCAATTAAAATATATGTAATTGTTGTAAAGAAAATTTAGATAATATTTCAAATTCTACACTTACACATTTTTTTAAACTTCCACAAATTAGAAGAGGGACTGAGAATACTTCAAGAAACTGTGTCATCAAATCTGTAGGACCTCATGTCGCTAAATAAAAAATAACAGAAACAGGACAAGATCACAAGAAATCATAAGACAGGCATAAGCAGAGCAGAGCAGATATAGAGCAGATCAGATAGAGAAGGTACCAAGGCAGAAAGCCCAGGTACCTAGCAATGGGCAAGACTTGGAGGACTAATATTACAGGGTGGGATTTTGTCCTCAGAGTTACTTTTCCTACCCTGGCATATGGTTGGTCATGGCGTGTAGACCCCCTGACCTTACATATTTCTGGTCATGTGGTTCAGACCCTCCCCAATCTCTCCTTCCCTGGCCCGTGGCTAGTCACGTGGTAGACACCTTAGAGGGGGTACAGGGCAAGGCCAGAGAATAGTCTCATAGGCCTCCCATACAAACCCCTGCATGACTACTTCCTTAAGCATTAGGCCCTCAAGACAATAAGGTTCTGACCTGCATCAAATAATCTTAGGAACAAAGCCTTGGGTTTGTTGACCACAGAGACAGAGTTTCTGTCAAACTAGAGATAACATGTAGGAATTGAGTTTCAGCTCCAGGCCCAGAAAAGCAGCAAAGCCAGGCAGGGGTGATGCCATGGTTGACATTAGGACCAGCTGCAATGACTAATGACCCCCTGCACTGGTGTCAACTATACTTGAAAGGACACATCTGGAAAGCTAATATATATTTTATTGAGATCCTCTCTTGAAACCTCCAGATAAAAACCCTTAAGACAAAGGATTCAAATAGTATCTAATAAAGAGGGAATATGCTAATTGACCCTCATGCAGTTGCAAAATGGTGACACCCACAGCCAATGAGGAGGGAAGATGCTAATTGACTGCCACACCCTTAAAGATGGCAGCTCCCACAGCCACAAGATGTCAGTGCCCAGTCCCCTCAGTCCCCCAGCCGCTCAGGGCCAGCCCAAGGCACAGGCAAGCCTCAGATGGTAGCTGCCCAGCTGCTCAGGGCTGCCTGAGCTCAGGTAACCAGGGCTGGCCGAAGCTTGCGCTGCCAGCAGTGGCAGCAGCAGAGGTGTGATGGGGTGTCACCTTCCTCTGATTGCCGGGTCATCTGCCCCTGAGGACTGTGAGAGGGGCAGGCAGGCTGGGCTGAGGGACCCCCCTCCAGTGCATGAATTTTCATGCACCGGGCCTCTAGTGATATTATAAATACCCAAATGTGCTTTGGCAGAAGAAAGGTTCCCTCTCCTTTCCTCTCCCCCGCTACAGCATTCCTGTGCCTTTCCCTACCGCCTTCTTTCCACAGGTGGGCTCTCTTGGGAGCAACACCTGAGCCTTTCCCTCTCTCCTTCCCCCAGGCATTTTTTTATTTGCCCTTTTTTTCCTCCTAAATTCCAAGGGCCCTTCTTTTCTTTTGTCTCTGTAACTTGTTTACTGATTTCGCATAATCCAGCTGGCTCACTTCTTCTATAACTCACTTATTCAACCCCTTTAACTTTCTAAATAAGTTTTTGTTGTATTTGAGTTCCTTGGGTCTGACTTTTTTCCTTAGCCAAATTCAAGGACCAAAGTCTAACATCTGGTATAAAATAATAACAACAACGACAAATCCACTTGAAATAGATGGAAATACTTTTCACAACTTTATAATAAACAATAGCACTCTATACATAAAAGTCAATTCTTAAAACCCTCAAATTTCAGAACATAAAAATTCGTTTCTGTTTACAGACTTCACCTTTCCAGTTCCAAAAGCAGTTATTTTAAAACAAGTATTCATAATGTAAAGTTTAGCTGAATTAAATAAATAACAATCACTTCATGCAAATATCAACTGAACAACAGATTTTAGGCAAACTGTTTTTCATAGCTCCCCTTCGATTCTTTTCTAAATAAAGCAGGACATTGTAAATATTTCACTAAAAATTCTGAGCAAGGACACTGGTCATTTCAAGTAAATTCAGAAAAAGTAGATTACCAAGAGAAACTCTGAGACACATGAGTCCTCAGTGTGTTATAGGAGCCACTGATTGTAAGTCTGGTTAGTTCGCCATGCTGAAGATGGACAACTGTGCTGTTCGTGCTGATGTGCTTAATCTCTTTTGCCAGATAAGCTACAAATACTCTACTGTCCCTTCCATTTAGATCAGAACATTTTTCACATTTTTTTAGCACAGTAATCTTCTCTACCAGGAGAATCTAGTTAAAACACACTAATTTGCATCTTTGGTTAAAAGAGCAGTACGGTGGTGTGGATGCTATTAATGGTTCTCTGTAACTAAGTCAAGACTGAAAAATATCCTATACATAGATATAATGTAACCTGTGTTTTCTAAGCTCTTCATAAGTCATTATATAAAGTCCAGTTCTTAAAAAAATTTTTTTACACATCAGTGATGGACCTATCTCCACAGGGACATCCATAGACTTTCTGTAATGCAGGTGATGGAAAAGGTCACTGAAAGTAATTCCTCCAGTCCTCCTCAGGGCAGGCTACGTCTCCAAGGGGCACACAAAGGACAAGAACATGTCTAGCTGGTTCTTCACAATAACTTCATCCGGATGTAGCTTATGGGGTAGATAATGGGCTAGGGTCATCTCCCAGGCATCAACGAGATATACTCCAATCCCTGAGAACATCCTCCGAAGGACGGTGTCCAGCTGAAAGCTGTACCAGTCACTGCTGAAAAGGCTCGCCTCAGGCCCCAGCTCTTGGACGTTGGCTGTCCGGATCACTACCACGGTCTTAGGGCTTCGGTCCAAGAGCTGGACCACTGCTCGACGGATGTTCCTCAGCCGCCGGATATACACTTCCAAGGGGAAGGTGCTGAAATGAGACCACACAGCTATGGCCACCACGGTGTTCTTCCCTCCCACAATACCATTCAGCTCATTGGCCACATAGTGGAGCTCACTACTGAAGACAGTGGTGAAGCGGATGGGTGGGCCGTGGCAGCGGTACTTGAGCAGGATGTTGTGCTTTTGGTCCACCGCAAGGAAGGGACCCACGTTCTTGGGGCTACCCAAGTTAAACTCCACTAAATCTGAAATGAGGAAAACTCAAGTTCATAAAAATGTTCAAACCAAGCACATATAAATTTCTATTATTCTTTACTTGATGGCTTCAGAACAGTTTTTAAAGTAAAAGTACAACAAAAAGGTGCAATTACAAATATAAAGGGAATGCCCAGTTCACTGCACTTTGGCCCTCTTTACCTCAATGGACCTTGATTCTAACATAGTTAATACCATTTAAATCACTCCATAAACAGGATATTACAAATAATATCAGTGATAGATTCTATGCCTATTTTTATCACTCAAAAGCAAAATAATCAGTTTACCTCCATTAGGATAAGAAATCTACCTCTTTGTACTAAATGTTGAATATCTAAAAATCAACTTAACATTTACACATTATTGTTCTAACAGATAAGTATTTCTTCCAGAGCAAGGGCTATAATTCCTGCTTTTTAAAGAACACATAATAGTGCCAAAACTGGTTTGGCTCAATGGATAATGCGTCGGCCTACGGATTGACAGGTCCCAGGTTTGATTCTGGTTAAGGGCATGTACCTTGGTTGTGGGCACATCCCCAGTGGGGGGTGTGCAGGAGGCAGCTGATGGTTGTTTCTCTCTCATCAATGTTTCTGGCTCTCTATCTCTCTCCCTTCCTCTCTGTAAAAAATCAATAAAATATATATATATTTTTTAAAAAAAGAACACATAATAGTAATCAAATATCTTTTTTTGTTATTGTGTAACCAAATACCTCTTACTGCTATTGGCCAAAGAAAGAAGGCAATCCACTCTACAGATGGACAATCATGTTAATATCTTAGAGAACTTCTATCTCTGTTTTAAGAATAATAAAGACTACAACACAAGTTAGAATTACCTTCTCTTCCTCCCTTGGGTCTAAGTTGTATTTCAAAGTCCAGCTCCTCTGAGATCTTCTGGATCTACTATTTAGTATTTAACCCCATTTAAATTGAATAAAAACTCAATCTACCATTCTTTCTTTAGATTAATATCAAGAACTATTACAAAGCTTTATGAGGTGAAAATCTCTACAAAGGGTATGGTAGAAAATGATCAAGACAATGTGATCACTGCTACAAAAGAAATGCCACACTTCATCATTAGAACTATCAATCAAGCAACGTATGGAAGGCTCTGCCTAGCCAACACCAAACTATCATGCCATACAAATTACTTCCTTTCTTTTGTTTTTTAATTTATGCTTTATCGACTAGAACTCAAATATGTCTGTTTCAATTAAAAAAAAATACAAGCAAAACAAAAACTGGAATTAACTTTTCACTCTTTGGGGTCACATGTACTTCCTCCTTTCCTTCTAAAAATTAAATCTGAAGCCCCTTTGAGAAGCAACTGTTTTGTCCAGGGTCACACAGCTAATCAGTGGTATAAACTTCAACAAGATTCCAGTACTTCCATCAATGCATCACAACCCCAATATTGATTTTTTTAAAAATGATCACATAGCTTTCCAAGGTTAGGATATCTCTTTAGTCTGACAAGAAATAACATTTTTTTAAAATTTTTTTTACTTGATGTCTTTCTTCAGGTACCCAAGGGAGTCTGCATGAAAGCTGACTTCATCCATGTCTAAAAGTGTTATGAAACAGAAAGCAAAGTACCAACCTGGAACAAATGCAGTTAGATATTCAAACCACTGCCTGATTGTTGAGTCACCAAATAAATACACCACTTTTCTTTGTAAGCATTCAGTAATGTTGTCAGGGTCATTAAACTGGCGGATCTTAAAGTTTCTAGGCTTCCACTGATCTTTGTAATAATGCCCCGAAGGAAAAGTTCCTGAGCCTTGAGATAGTTTCGAGTTGTTAGATTCTGAAAAAGAAAAATACGAAAATAAAATAGATATTCTGAGATTCTCCTCCAATAAACCATAATGTTCTAGCAACACAATTATGTCCAAATATTTGTTAGCCTGATACCATATGGGTAACATTTCCTGCCATCATATCTCAAAGAAATCCCAGACTTCCCCTTATTACAAATTGTTCTCCTTTGTACAGAAATAGAAAGGTCTGAAATGGATATGAGGATATTGGTGTACAGAAGGGGAAAGGGGATTTTTCTTCTTCTTTTTTTTTTTTTTTTTTTTGAGCATTTTCTCTGATTTTGCATGTTTTTATCAAAGCCAAAACTAAAGGCAGGCAAAAAACAAGGAAATGTGTAGATACAAGCATTGTCCAGCATATCCCAGGATAGGAGAAGAGCTTCTCATCCGAATGCCTGTGAGGCAAGTAACAATTTAAATTCACATTCTATGCATGCATAGTAATAGTCCACTGTTTCTCAGTCCATTCAAAGGAAAGTTTTGACCCACGGGTCCTACAATCAAGTATTAATTCAGGGAACCACCGGGAAACCACGCCAATGACATACAATCTAAACAGTTATTCCCCACAATACGAAAGGTTCAGGAGGTCGTTATGCACAATGAACCGTATTAAAAGTACACCAGCAGTGAGTGTTTACGGTTGTAGCCCAGATACACATGATAACACAGTGCCAAGACACCTTTCAGAGAGTCAACATCCTTCTGCACTAACATCTCCTTTGGAAAATGCCTCTGTGGAAACAACAAGTTTTCCTTGCTTCAAAACAGACAGGAACTATTAATATTGCTTACAAGTTTACTTTGCACCAGACACTGTTGTAGGCAACTAAACGTATTATTTCACAAGACGCTCACAGTAAGCAACCTTTCAGAACAGTTAAGCAACATGATCTAGGCGCTAGAGCAGGCAAGTAGCAAATCCAGGTGAGCCCCAAAGCCCCATGTTCTTAACTACTGTGCTACATCACAAAACTAGATGTCTGTAACCCTGGCTGGGTAGCTCAGCTGTTTGGAATGCCATCCTAAGAGGTTGCAGGTTCAATTCCTGGTCAGGGCACATATCTAGACATATCTAGGTTGAAGGTTCCATCCTCAGTCACGGTATGTATTCAATGTATGAGGCAACTGGACAATATTGATCAACGTGTGTGTGTGTCTGTCTGTGTCTCTCTCTCTCTCTCTCTCTCTCTCTCTCTCTCTTTCTCTCCCCCTCCCCCCCCACCTCCTTCCTTCCCTTCTTCCCTCCTTCCTTCCCTCCCTCTCTCCCTCCCTCTCTCCCTTCCTTTCTTTCTCTAAAGATATTTATTTTCCAGTGAAGATTTTTTTAAAAAGTAGATGTCTGTAGATGTCAGCCATTTTCTTTTTGGCCTTTTCCTGAAGGTGTTCACATATTCATTTCTAATACTTATTCAAATCCACAATCTTAAAAAAATCCCCAATCATTTTATATCACTTCCTTAAATGCCCCAAGATTCAAACATTGATCATAATATAAAAATTCTATAGTGTCACCTATTAAACCACAATTCAAAATCCAAATGCTTATACGACTCAAAAATTTCAGTTCCCTACTTATGACTATTTTCACCTTATTTGACTTCTTGTTACTATTCATATTACTAAAAATTATTTTGGTTTTATCCACTTCAAGAAAGATGCCCTGTTTGATAGATAGTGCATCTTTTTTCTAAGGCATCAGCTAATTTTTTTTTTTTGAGAGAAGAAAGGAGAGACACACAGATAGGGAAGCATACATGTGAGAGAGAGACATTGATTGGTTGCCTCCTGCACACCCTCCAACCAGGGAAAGAACCACAACCTGGGTATGTGCCCTGACCAAGACTCAAACCTGCCACCTCTTGGTATTTAGGACAATAACCCACCAACTGAGCCACACTGACCAGGGCACTTTAAATTTTTTAATCTTCACCTGAGAACACATTACCACTAATTTTAGAGAAATAAAAACATCACTGTGAGAAACATATATCAGTTGCCTCCCATAGGTGTCCTACTAGGGCTTCAAACCCACAACCTTTTGGTGTATGAGGATGTCCAACCAACTGAGCCACACCTTCTAGGGCTGCATCTGCTAATTTTTTGCAGGTTCAGTGCCTAAGTAAAAAGTAAATAAGTTTTTTAAAAGTTTTATTTGGCAAATATCATTATCAAAACCAAATAATAACAAAAGAATATATTCTACCTCCCATTTATTTGTTATCAGAATTGAGGGGGTCAAAACTGCCAATATGCAGGAGAGGTCTGTGAGTCCTGTGCTGTGGAAATTAATGAATCAGAATTGAGTTCTCACTCAGTATGACCCATATCAACACAGACAGTGGTAGAAGGGAGAGTGACTAGATACTGCATAGACCGGGCTCCATCCAGATGGTTCTGCTCACACAGTGAATCTATAATTTCCTGACTCATTTGTTGCCCTAAGATTCTTCCAACTGTGGGACTTTGAATGAATGATAAAGCTCAGCAATTGCCAGACCTTGGTAGGTACGTAGATATTTATTAAATGAGAGAATGGATGAATGAATGAAGAGAAGGAAGGGATAAAGATGAATCGAGTTGATGGCTAAAGAAGAAGCCCTTTTCATTGAAATATATATTTGGCTTATTCAAAAACAATTTCTCAACATGTACCATGTGTGGCTTTATCATGTTACCACACCTTACTCAAAACACACCTTATCAGCAGGTCAAGGCTACACATGCCAGAGAGCACCAGAGCAGACACCTGGGGCCCATGAAAACATTTACGAGGATGGAAATTAAAAATGAGTTTGGCCCAGCCGGTAAACAAAGACGGCAGTCCTTCGATTCCCAGTCAGAGCACATGCTCAGGTTTCAAGCTCAATTCCCAGTAGAAGGCGTACAGAAGACAGTCAAGTGATGTCTGTCTGTCTGTCTGTCTCTCTCTCTAGGCATACAGAAGACAGCCAATTGATCTCTCTCTCTCTCTCTCTCTCTCTCTCTCTCTCTCTCTCTCTCTCATCTCTCTCTCTTTCTTATCTATCTCTCTCCTTCCTTCCCTCCCTTTTTCCCTCCCTCCCTCCCCCAGTAATGTTTCTATCTTCCTATCCTTCTCCCTTCCTCTAAAATCAATAAAAACATTTTTTATAAAGTGATTTTGAAGTTATAATTTTTATCAAGATTAACTCAGTAAATTCGGCTATTCTGTGTCAAATACTTTTTATAAAGAAAAGTGTATATTACATAGAAATATACACTTCTATTCAATTCAAATGTTATTATATTCTATTCAAATGTTATTATATTTATGACCAGAGTTAAGACAAGCAAAGCAAATCAATTACTGAACCTGACCTTAATTCTTTCAACTTGCAGCTCTAGATAACAGAATGTATTTTTAAGTGAAATGTATGTGCCTACATTGCCCTCTTCTGGTCAGCTGGGACAAAAATATTTCCTGACAGGATTTTAGTAAGCAGACAAATGTTATTTACAAAGTCAGCAATTCTTGAAATTCAAAATGCATTTTCACTTAAGATAACTGAGATATGAAAGCCTATTAAATAAATAATATAAACCTTGGTGTACTACACATGTGGGATAAAAATAATTTAAAAGATAAAACTGAGTTTACACAGAGGTTGTTGTAAGGGCAGATATAAATATCTTTATGCAAAACAGAAGGGATAGTTTTGATTATTCACAGGTAAGGTCTCTGCTTCTCTAAATGCCTTGGCTTCTCTCTATAGACCACAACTTAAATTTCCTTCAAAGGGCGTCATCCCATGTCATTCATTAGCCATAACGAGGACATGTGGGCCACCAATGGGACAAAAGAAGAGATAGAAAAGCAGAGAGATAAATTTCCCTAAGTTATCTAGAAAGAGTCAGAGAGAGACACAGTGCAAATTAAACGTGGGATATATTTATGTGTACATGTGTATATGCATCCTTAATTTTCTGGCCTGGAATTACCTATAGAAGAAAGAACAGTAAAGGCATGCCACAGTGGAGTGCATGGTTCATAACAGGAAAGAAAGCCAAGATAAAGGAGAAACAGAGTCAAATACCCGGTAACTCCTTGACCAGGGCACACAGTGAGCACGGGATTGCTTGGGTGCCATCTCAGGGAGGTAAGGAATGAGGCTTGTGTGTCAAGCTGTTTAGGTACAAACAGTCAAGTGCAGGGGATATGAGAAGGTCCTAGGTACAAAGTAGTTATAATAGGTTGAATTTGAATTTACCCTTGAATCCCCCTATAAAACTTTGGGAATTTGTGTGTGGGGGGTGGTTCTTTATATTTTAGTCCCCTAAAGGCTAATAAGCATTTTATGGAGGAAAGCTAAAAATACTATATAGGAAAAAATACCTGTAAATACAGGGAATGTTGAAAGACCTCAGAGAATCATTAGTCCAAATATCTCTTAACGGTAAAAAAAAAAAAAAAAAAAAAAGCAAAGGACGGAAGGCAGAGACCACACAGAGACTGAGAGGAAGGTCAGAGGCGTGAAAGGGCTGGCCAGGCTTTCACAGACAATAGCTGAAGTTCCAGAGGGATATCTCACCTGTTGGGGATTCCAATGAGAACACTGGGATCTAAACCCCAAGTTTGGCCCCACAGTCCAGAGCACCAGAACTGAGAAAGGTGCCCATACAACATCTGGCTGTGAAAAGCAGCAGAGTTGCTATCTGCCAGGGAGAGGCTGCTGATTGACCCTCATCAAGGGCCAACCCACAAAATTTCGAGTACAGCCACTGACCTTGAGCTTAGAAAGAGAGAGGGTAAACTACAGATGTGTGAGCAGAAGCAAGGGTTGGGGCTCTGGGATTAGAGCTCAGAAGGCAGACACTTCGGTTTCCTGTGCTCAGTCATTCCCTCATACTGCAGACCCTTCCATCCAATAGGGTGGGGAGCGGGCCTAAGCTGTCAGTTGGACATCCTCCAAGGGCTCCCAGACTGTGAAAGGGCACAGGCCAGGCTGATGGACCTCCTCTTTCCCCA